GTCCGAAAGCCCGGGGCTAGTGGATTTTGCTATTGGGCTAGTGAATTCTGTTATTAACTTGCCCAACGGGCAAGTGAAGTTTTTTGAGGAATTCAAATTACAGAAGAACTGTGAAATTAATCTGCTGATCAAAACGTTTTTGGGGCTAGTTGAAATGATGTTTGGGCTAGTAGATGTTGGCTTCAACTTGCCCGAATGGCAAGCTGTAAAAATGACCTTCTTTGCGCCCTGGTATAGGTAATAGCATGATTAGTAGTGATATTTGGTATAAATACCACAAGTGATATTTCAAAATTGTTATACGTAATTTCACAAGCCGGTAGGCGAGTGAAATTTGATACAATTTTGAAATATCACAAGTGGCATTTATGCCAAATATCACATACAAATTATGCTATTATTTGTTTATACTACTACCTGCAAAAGGTTTGTAATTTTCACATGTAGGTATTTCAAATCAAGCTGAAATGGGTTATTCCAGAAAAAATCCACACCCCCCCGACGGATGGGGTCCTTTTTTAACCCCCTCTCACCTGGATTTCCTGAAGCACAAGACCCCCCCTCCCAACTGGATTTCCAAGGTGGAAGAACCCCCCTCCCGCCTGGATTTCTGGGAAAAAATAAAAGGCTTAAATTTAATTTATTTTTAATGGAAAATACACGCAAACACGTCTAAATGTTTTTGTTTTAATTTCTAAAGCTTCAGCTTATATTAAACTAAGAATTCTATCGCGTGGAACTAAAAACGAAAGGAGCAAAAAAGAAAAATGCGAAGGACACCTGAACGAGTGTTTACATAATTTCTTAGCTTATAAAAATCACTCTTAAGCTCTTGGCAGGCTCTGGGTACGAGTAGAAATGTGTCAGGCGTTTGACGCTCTTCGTGACAACAACGTTGCGACGAGTTCCTTCAGGCCCGTTCTTTAGTATCTTGTTCGCGTTTTCTGCTATAAAAGGACCTGTAAAGCAACTTAGATTATCATTTATGTCAGGTGAGAAATATATGAACAAAACATTTTGACCATTTTCAGGGTCTGAAAGCGCTTAAGTGTCATCGAACTAAACGTTTGATTTGTATCAACTATCGGTCGAAATGACCCCTGCAGAAGACTTTTTTACGGTCAACCCCCCTTCCGCCTGGATTTCCGGAGTCTTCGACCCCCCCTCCCGCGAGAATTTCCAGAATCCCATCCGTCGGGGGTGTGTGGATTTTTTCTGGAACAACCCAATACCACTGCTCTAAGCCAATCAAATTGCAGAAATTTTTTCATGAAGTGGTTATAAACAAAGAAATAATTGTTTATTATACCAATAAGAGTTACAGCAAAAGCACCAAAATATAGGGGATATATGCAAAAAATACAGATACAGAGCACTAAGAACAGCTAGATTTACGATACATCATAAGCACTAACAAGATACGCTAAGCAAAATATTAACAAAGTAAAGGGATGTCAGATCATTTTCAAAAAGCAATGCAAAAGTATAATTAGTACAAATTAAATCTAGGTAAACCTATAAACCTCAAAGAAACGAAAAATGCCGCCACGAGTAAGCTGTTCAGTGTCAAATACTGTGAAATTCACAAGGAGCGGCTTATAAAGGGTCTAATGATCCCAATGGAAACTGAGCTAAACAACTGATCAACAACTAAAAGAAATAAACTTCATACTGTTAGAATTTTGAGAAAATTCGTGGACCAAAAGATGATATTTACAAAGGAAAAAGGTAAATGTTTCAAGGTCATTTTCTGAGAGTAATGGCAGAAATTCTCCTAGCACCTGAACCTAATTATAAATTGAAGTATTAAACCCTCAAAGACTAGATATGTAATACTAGTGAGATTAGTTGAAATCAGAAGAATAACTCATCGACATAGCGCTACAAACCAGACCAAATCACGAAAAAGCTGAAAATCAACGCTGCGTAGAGTTTCAAACGTTTCATTTTCGTGAAATAAATATGAAAAAAGACTTAATAACATAAAGAAAACATTTTTAAAACTGAATAGCGCCAAATTAAGGATAAATTTAAGCAATAAGTCAGTGGGAAAAGCATGCTTACCGTCCTCCATCTTGAATTTTCCAGTGCTTTAGCTTATGACCGCTGTGCAGCTTGTCTCTTGATTGAGCCTTCGAAACTGTTCCCCAGGCCTACTCCAGGATGAACTTTTTTCCCCACGTACCGATAACCCTGTTTATTTTACATTGTACTCACTATCTGTCTTCTCATTGGCTAAGAGCCTATAGCTAATTTTGGAAATCAGCGCAACCTAGTCTACAGAACCTACAGATTAGTTAGTTATCTGCTAGCGGATACCTGACTAATCTGTAGATTGCGCGTGCAATGCATGATTTCCAATAACAATATCAATTCAGGTTCCTTAGCTTGAGACGACGGTGTTTGTCTTTTTAGAAATACGCATCACTTCGCATTTATCAGTGTTAAATCTCAATTGTCCCAATATTCCAAACGAGTAAGATCTTTCTGCCGAGTTCTTCCACATCTTCGTTAGTGCCCTTCAGTACCCTAGACACCTTCATATCATCTGCAAAGAGTCTTGTGCACGACGTAATTCCTTAAGATATCGTCATGAAATCTGCATTTGTTTTTCTTTTGTTGAAAAGCATTTTTTCAGTTAACTGTAATCAAATGCAATCATCAAAAGGGAGACAAAAAATCAAATTGAATTTACCTTTTAGCTTTCATATTTGAATTCAAATTTTGCACTATACTAACTATACTATTCTAACCCTGGGTTATCTTCAGCTGATCGTGCTGCGGCAGGTTGAACCCCGGCCCGACAACCAATCGGTGTCTCTCTTACGGATGTATTTCTCTTATTTCTTTCATTTTAATCATCTAATTGATCTATTTCTATTTCTTTCCCTTTGTTCTGTTTATTTTTAGTTATTTCCTTTTTTATCATTTACACATTTTTTTAAATGGTTTTAACTAAAGGGAACCAGCCATCCGCATATTAATTTGCTCATGTTACTTTCGCCTTAAAGCCTTTGAGAGAATGATTTATTTTGGGGAGAACTAACTTGGTCATTCTTCATTTGACATCAGTTGAGAAAACGTTTTAAACGAAGGTCTCAAAGATCGATTACATGTTAACCTGTTCTTAATTACAAAGTCCATATCGCCCCATACCAGAAACTCATGAGTTTCTGCCCATACTGTAAGGTGATCCAAGACAGTCCTGGATACTCAGAAATACTGGACTGGATTCTACGCTGTAGATTTCAGATTCCAGGTAGCAGAATTCCGGAGTTTTATTAAACCTAAATTAGGGATTCTCAAGCTCAGGACTCCGGATTCCAAAAGCAATAATTTCCCTGATTCTGGATGATTAAAGACTGCGGGCAGTCTCTCTTTTCCTTCCGATTTAGTGAGGCGAGTGCGCGAGTGCGAGAGACGCAATAAAGAGAGGCGAGAAACGTGCCTCTCCTGTCTCGCGCCTTCAGTCACCCGCGTGGTCATTTGCGTGTCTCGCGCGTTTTGCTCGACAGACTAAGAAAAACGAGAGACTGCTTGTATTCTAGGATGATTGCCTTACTTGCAGGGGGGGCTGGATTGACAAAGTGGTGACTTATGGAGAGAAGAAACCGGGAAGGGATTAGCACGAAGAAGAGAAAGGAGACTCACACTCTCCTTAACCTACGTAGCTGGCGATTTAGCGGCAGATGCTGTACTTTTTTGGCAACGGAGTCACGTGAAGATTGGGAGCAAGTCAAGGAGGGATTTTCACCTTTCTCCCTCGCGATTTCGCCGCTCGCTTCGAGTGGCGGCTTTTCGCCAACAAAGTACCCCAGGCACAACAATCCCGCCAGCTACGCAGGCTGCACTCTCCTTCACGCCACTCCATGAATTTTAAGAGCCTGGGATAGTAATGAGCTAATGAGGGACTGTGTAATAATTATCAGGAGGGGGGGGGGGGGGCTAAAACCAGAGGGGGGACCTTAAGTTAAAATAATGGAAAGGAGGGGGGGCTCTACATTAGATTTCTCAAGTAAGTTGAGGGGGGGTCTTAATTTAATTTCACAAATTCGATAATGAATAAATAAACATTTTCCAAATAGACAGATGCCACTCCTTTGACTATCCATAACGTCTAAATATTGCATCAACATAAACACATGCTTTAACTTATTTAGAATGTCAACATATGATGGATTGAAACAATCGTTCATGTACAGAAGTCACAAACCACGTTGTGAGCTTTGACAATAAAACATTTGGCATTTAAGAGGTCCCGCAGACATGCCAGGTCTGTTCTTGATTTAAACAGCGAGAGGGTTTCTAGGTCTACAGTTTCTAGCTGAGGAATGCCACATGCTTCTGTTTCATAGTTGTCATCACTTCATAGAGCACCAAAAATTCCTTGCAATGAAAGCAAAAAAATGGGCAACGGAAAGGAACAAACTTCCAGACATTAATTGGTCCGACGACGTTGAAGTCAACTCGCTGTCTGCAAGTAAACTGAAACTCTACCTAAAGGAACACGGTTTACCCGTCAGTGGAGGGAAAGCAGCACTCGTAGCTCGTGTGCTAGGTGCTGAGGAAGCTCAAGGTAAAAAAAACCCGGATGAGCAGCAATCTAGCAGTTCCGAAGACCAAGAAGATAATGAACAATCAGACGATTCGGAAATTGACGATTATGAAGAACAAAGTTTCGAGGTGCTCTTCATCCCTGACGACGCAGTGCAATGCGTTGCAGTACGGTGAATAAAGGTACGGGTTACAGAGGGGGGGGCACATCATAATTTTGAGAGAACGTGAGGGGGGTCAGAGCTAATCTTGACGCTGCTGGAGGGGGGGACCTATCTTATTTTTCCTTTGGTGAAGCTCATTTTAGGACTCCCCCTTCCTGATAATTATTGCACAGTCCCTGAGATGCAACTGAGAGCATCATCGCACACTAAGGCGATCAAGCGTAACTCAGCTCGATCAGCGACCACAGCTTGGTTTAACACAGTGAAGGGCACTATACACCTATGGAAGAAACAGAGCTTTACTTTGCTTTTGGGTCAAATCTGAGCGCAATAAAAATGCGGGAACGCGGCACTAGGTTCATCTGTCACGAAAGCGCAGTGCTTCGAGGATTTCGCGTCGTATTCAGCATATGGAAAGACGATGGCTTTGGTTATGCTAATATTATCCCAGATAAGGAGTCGACCGTTTATGGTGCCTTGTACATCTGTTTAAAAGGAAGTTTAGCCAAGTTAGATGAACACGAAGCTGGGAGGCTTCGGAGAGTGAACGTACAGGTGGAACGAAAAAGCGGCGAAATCGTGGATGCGACAGCGTATCAAGCGTATGAAAAGTATGTTAAAAAGGGGCTAAAACCGAGCCAAATTCATCTCAATGAAATACTTGAAGGAGAGGATCTTATTCCTAAAGAATATGCTGACTACTTTCGAAACTTCTTGCATGACAAAACTGAGAAGCAAAGACTGACGAAATCTTTTTAATTCAGTCAACAATCATTGATAGAAAACTCAAGAGAACATCAAGCTTTGAAGTTTATCCGTGTAATGGATTGACTTATGAATGTATTTAAATTGCAAGATTTTATTCCGGTTTATGTTTTGAGAGGTGAGTTGCTGGGGGTTAGTTGGTCAGTCAGGGAAGGACTATTAGAAAAGTAATGGGGGGCGTGGTGGGGTTGTTTTGCCTCGCAAGAATGTTTTCTGCCCGATTGCCTGTGGAGGAACTTTTTTGGAGTGCAACCCTTTCTAGGAATTGTTGGGCATTAAATTAATTGAAAATGGCGTTGCTTTGTTTTATTACAGAGGTTGTATTTTCAACGTGACTTTCACGAGAATGCCTCAATACCGAGCCACGACTCGGGCCAGGACTCCAGCTAGGACTTTTCTATTTTTTTCTGTAGGCAAAAAGAGAATAACTAAAAATAATAAATAAACAAATAAAACCTACCCTAACCTAACCTAACCTAACCTAACCCTAACCCTCCCTTCCAAGATTGCCACGAGAACCCTCCTCTAAATGGTTATGTGACTTGCAGGAGGTGAAAATGGCGGGAAAGCAAAAAATTGTCGAGTCCTACCTCAAGCGTCGAGTCATGGCTTTGATGTTAGTTTAACTGTGCAAAAATGTGTGCTGCACGTGAATTTTTTTTTGTTTGCTAATTAGATCTACTGATTTTGTTGCCGTTCTGCCATAAGAAGTGATCTTAAACACCAGCACAGAAAAAATTCTTTCCTTGATTCAAGAATTCCTAGCAACAGTCTTTTAAACTTGTCACGTGCTCAATTTCCAGTATCGGAATATTTAATTGGATTGGATCTTTGGATCCTGAAGTAAAACCTTGGATCCGGAGTAATAACTTTGGATCCCTGGCAAGAACTTTGGATCTCAGAAATAAAAACCTTGGATCCAATTGAAAAAAACTGTGGGGTCGGGGAAAACAGCTATGCCGGATAATGAAATCCATGTTGGTTGGATGAAAACTTTGGATCCGAAATAAAATCTTTATTTTATTGCACTTTTTTTTACTTTGCTTAGAATGGCATTTCAGAACAATTCAGACCCATACTGAAGTAACTCCTGATTAGATCGTCTCTCTCCGCTATTCCATGATCCAAATCACCACCCACCGATATAAGGCGGCAGGACGGCGCTTGATAAATGAATCAACGCAAAAAGCAAAGAGACTTGCAGCAGATCAAAACACATGTGCGCCATTTTTGTATATTACTTTCTTGATCTTCGACGTTTCAAAAGTTATCGCGCGATAAATTTCTCAGTCAAAGAAAACTTTATCGCGCGCCCGAGTTGTCTCAGACAAAGTAAATTTTATCGCAAGATAACTTAGCGAAAAAAATATATATATTGTAATGTCCGCTATGGACCACCGTAGATTCCTCATCGGACATGATGCCCAGCGGTAGTAGAATGCGCACTGAATGCAGAAAACGTGGCTCATCAAAGACCTTTTGTTGATTGATAGTGATGGACGACTGTCAGATGTCAGATGTTCGATAAAACGCTGAACGCAGAGAAGCTAACAAATGAGTCACAACTCCCTCAAACTGACCCGTCAAAAACTCACATGGTAAAACTGAGAAAATGTTATAAAGGAAATAATAATAACCCCATCTGAAAGATGAAGAAGGTGAAAGTTTGCAATTGACATATCAATAACCGATGAGTCTCAACACAAGCTAAAGTTTCGTTACGTCCACGGCTAAGAGTCTAAGTCTAAGTTGACCAGAAATAAATTCCAGACTTTCTTTTCTCAGAGCTCCCTAAAACTTTTCTCAAAACTCAAGAGAACATTTAGGGCTTGCGTTTCTCAAAACGTCGATGAACATTTAGGGCCAGAGAAGCATTTTTCAAGTCGGTTTAGTAGCAGACGGGACTCGCGTTTCTGTTGAGATTGGGACTGGATTTTAAGGTTAACTAGCGTAATGTGTTGGGCGAGAAAGCGGCTAACACTTCACGCTTTCTTGTTACAATACCTGAATGATAAATTCTCTCTGACATCAAATGTCAGACGAGCTATGTCATAGGGATTTAGACGTTTTTTTTTCGTCAAAAGTGCCTCAAACAAAAATTGCCGCCTACCTTCTCCACGTAAATGTACACTAAATGTTATATCTATAAGAGGAAAACTGATATGAAGGGGATTTTAGAAGAAAAATAATCTAAAGGACGTTTCTGTATGAGGCAGCAGATTCCTTTCAAGTTTAAAATAATCGTTTGGTCATCAGAGTAAACTTCAAGTTAAATGAGTCACCAGCGCGAACAATCCAATAAAAGCGCAGTTTCTGATTATAAGCCCTTACTAATAGTCTTTAGTATATACTAAAACAGTGAATAGTGTTTTTCGCGCGCTCTGATTGGCTACTCAATCAGTGAATATCCTGCACTATTCACTGATTCACCTCCAGTTCCTTCGAGCGAGCGACGTCAAACTCGCGTAGGTTGCGAGCAAAATGCTTTCCCGGTTTGCTGCTGTAACAAACTAAGAAATTTCACAACTAATCAAGCAAGCTATTTCCGAAATACATGAAAAAGGTGACGAAGTTCGGTTTGGAAGTTTTAACAGGTAAAGCTTTGTTTACAAATGCAAATTAAGCTTAAGTCTTGCGTTACTTTATTTAGTTGACTTGTTCATAAATAAGCTTAAAACTAAATTTAATAATGTTTTTTACAGAATTATTTTAAATACAAACAGAATTCACAATTCCTTTTGAAGAAACTTTCCCGTAAGAGCGAAACAAACGCCTTCAAAAGTTTTATTTGTCGCTAAGAAAAAGCGACGACCGCGGCCGTTCGGTCATCGCGCGCCAAAATTGCCAGAATCGTTGGCAACAGTAAATGAGTTAAAAATCATCATTTTGTGCTCAATTATCTCACTGTTTTAGTATATACTAAAACAATTATTCACCTCAGTGTCGGTGGCTAGTATTGGATATTTACCTCGCCGCTTCGCGGCCTCGGTAAATACCTAATACTAGCCACCTCCACTTCGGTGAATAATTGTTATCTAGCCAACCCTACCCTACCTTATACTACTCCCAACCCTACTAAGCACCCACCATATCTAGTTCAATAATACACATAATAGGGGTAACGCCTTTGAAGGGTTTTATTTTTTTATTAATTGTTTTTGCTGAAATCGTTTTATCCTAGGCAAGATCAGGCAGAAGGGCACAAATCTCAGCTCTCTATGTAAGTTTAGAACCCTTTTTATAATATCGACATTGACATTGGGGACGAAATCGTAATGTTTATATTTTGGCACATCCATTTACCAAGACGCAAATCTTTTTAAACGCCTCCCTATTATTAGACTATGAGTAGTCCCCATTTTTCCTCAGGGATAGTAGAGCGAGCGAAACGCGACCGCGCGTGAAACTCACTCCACACTCTCTACCTCTGCGTCTCGCCTTTCCTCGCGTGGGGAGATTTTCACGTGCGCTCGCGTGTCGTTCGCTCTAGTCTCTCTGAGGAAAAATGGGGACTTTTCGTAGTCTACCCTATTATTGACTTTGGACATAAAAGAGGTCCCTCTCAAAACTTAAAATAAATTAACACACACCCCAGGGTTTTAATGGATCTTTTACGGTATAGTTCAGTTTAAGGGTAGGAACGTCGTCCCCTTATTCATTGTCAAATCTTCCTTTGTGCCCCTTTGAGATTAATTAACTAGGAACTTCAAACGGGCATAGAGACGGGGAACGTATTGATTTTCAAGGAATATATGTCAAATATTTCACGTGAAAAAAAATATTCTGGAACTGAGGGAGGTTGTCCATATTTTAATCATGCAAAGATTGTGTTGAGGGCTTGTAAAGCTCGCTAGGCTTTGAAACTAGAGGACCAAGACTCTGTTCTTTCTCTTTAAGATAGCAGTTTAATCTTCAACAGCTACTTACAACAACTCTACAATCTCTACTAGCTTACACAGCGAATTAAATAACCAAATTGTAGACTTAGTTTGGGTTAGCTGACCGGAAGAGTTTCTATTGAATATTTTATCGCCTATATTGCAACAGGTTTGCTATAGTTAGATAAGCCTACACAGCCGCAACCGAGAAGCACCAAAGAACCAGTTCAATGCTAACAGTAAAACTGCCCAGAAGGACTAAATATACAAAACAAGAACTCGATTGTGGGTAAAACTCAAGGTCAGCGGTACTCCCCAAACAAGCCTACTTCAAAGAAACAAAACTAAGCTTAACAAACACTTCAAATGGATAATACTAGACAAAAACTCGGGAACTAACCATGTGGGGAAATACACTGAATCTCTGAGTCTCTAAGTCTACAGAAGTCTATAAACTGTTTATCACGAAGCTAGCAAAATCTTAAAAATAGCAAAACTGAAAAACAAAACTAAAGGCAACTACCTCATAACAATTGCAACTGGTTTGTGCGCTTTCATATTTGCTGGGGGCTGAACAATTTATAACAGGTAGACAAAGATACAGTCAAACCTCTATTAACCGGACACCAGCGCATTTCCAAAGGTTCTAACGTTTAATCGGTGAAGTCGCAGTAACGGAATGAGACAATCTGAAAACAACGATTTGCTTTTTAGACAAACTATCCCAATTTATTTCTCCATTTTATAGCCGACGCTTCGCTAAAAATATATAAAAATGCTAGAAATCCGATTTCTTTTGATATAAACGTAGCTAGATCCGTGATTTAAACGCCGGAAGCAGCGGGAGAAAAACCAATGCTTGCTTTAACAGTAACGTCGTACCTCATGTATGAGTATTTTATGCAGGCCACCACTGCTTGGCACTAAGAAGGTTAGGAGGGTAACTACTCAATTTCCTGGTGGATTCCGTCTTAATTTCTATAGGTACAATTTAGGTGAGGTGTAAAACGTATCCTCTGTACATATGTATAATTAAAGGTCATGTAGACTTAAATCAAAACCAATCTAGACACTAATAAACTTAAACCAATCTGCCAAAAGAATTAAAAACTACAACTGTGTACATAATATAAAAGTAAAGAGTATATTAAATTGCTAGTCTGAAGTGCCTCTGTCCCATGTGGTATCGATGAAAATAGCCGAAATTGACTACTGATTCCCGATATTTTTCAGGTGACTATAAAACAAGTTTCAAGTGCACATGACTGGTCGCAAAATAAGCTACGAAACGTACACTTTCATTTTCAGACTACGCAAAATATTAACAGCAGATAATTTTTTCTTCTGGATACAGTGTTTCTATTCTTGCGAGGAACGCTCCACCTCGTAATCGTGACAAAATTAGAAACTGTCTTCACCCTCAGATAGTTAGGAACTGCTTCATTGCATTCTTCATCATACCTATACAACAACAACCACAACAGGAAAAGCAACGTTAGCAAGCTAACAAAAGAAGAGGATAGTGACTTCATCTGGCGAGGCATAACATTTTGACAACTGACTTTTAAGAGTGTGCTCGATTGGTCGTACCCCGGAATAAGAATACGCAAAAGTTTTGATGCAAACCTCTTCTATACCGTAATTTTTGAACCATCTGAAGTTTATATAGATCAAAATACTTTATTTCAAGCAGTTTTGTAGAATGAAAGACAGAACACGTGACTTCTGCCGAGGTTATTCCATTAATTTATTTTTAATTAAGACGCGGAATACGGTGAATCGAACACGCCCTAAATTTATAAGAGCAAAGGGTCACATTACAACTCGTAACTTCAACCAATTATTAGACTTATTGTAGATTCAAAGAAACTTGCATACCATAAATTCTTTATTAAGCCTTCCTCTCTAAGAATCTCCCCTTTTAAGAGGAAAATCATTTAACCTCCTCCTCTCTTTCAAGTCTCTTCTCCCTATTCTTATACAATAGGCGTATGATAGATGTGTTAATTTATCACGACTCTAACACTTCACGTGGACTGATTATCGGGTATGGTTTATTCACGAGCTCCAAGTTTCGATTTGATTTGGATCTTCGGCTGATCATGACCTCCAACTTCATGTCCCTGAGATTCTTCACTTTAGGTTCTAGTTCTCTATGGGGAAATGATATCACAATCTTCGCTTCACTAAATAAGCCCCTCCTCCCTCTCAAACGTTCTTGAAATGAGTAAACCCCCCGGGAGGCTTAATAAAGGATTTACTATATCTAGAGACTTTCCTAAGCGACACCTTCCGTAAAATAAGCGACTGGAAATTTGATCTTCGCATTTTGAGTCGTCGCTTACGTCAGGTTCGACTGTAAGTTACAGTGGAACGAACTCAGACGGGGCACACTTCGAAATGTGAAAAAATCATGCGACTTGAAACAAATTTTCTAGTCTTTAACTGCCAAAAGAACTACCAAAGTCAGACTCCATTGTTGTTGAACTTGACCTGTGATTGGCAGATTGACGCTACGTGGCACCGGTTGAGTTCGTTGCTCAATAAAAGGTCATAAATAACTATAATTCCTTGTTAAAATGATGTTTCCTAAACCACGTAATATTATCCAGGGTTTAAATATATCCTAAAATACCTTGCTATTTATTGGATGCCCTCAAACTCGAGCGTTACGTCGTCACCAATGAGAACAAACGGCGCCCAGTACTTCACTGCGTTAAAGCGGTCAGATTCTCTCATGGATTTCATGGCTTTATTCAGAGACTCACTGGCACTTCGTCCACGGACTAGTTGTTGGTAGAAAACTTTCATGAACTCCATAGTAGCTTCGTCGTCGATCGCCCACAACGACACCAGAACAGAGCGAGCACCAGCACCTAAAAAAGCCCGTGCAATACCGACCACACCCTCAGATTTGACTTCTCCCCGGGCACTATGACAACAACTGAGTACAACAAGTCTTGCCCTAATCTGCGCCTCTAAAACATCTTTCATAGTTAAGAGATAGTCCTCCCTGGCTGGATTCACGGATGAACGTGTTGTGTTTGGGGCCAAGGCAATTTCTCCTGTTTCCATTTTACCGTGAGCAGCAATGTGCACCAAAACAACCGAGGAGATACGTGTTAAGACTTCATCTTTTGTTGCCTGCTTTCCAACGAGAGGTTTACTTTGAAGTATTTCCCCAATCATCTGTACTTCCTTTTCGGCCCACGCTAACTGCTCAAGCCTCATTCCTTCATAAACTACCTCCTGTACCCACGGATCGCCGACGAGAAGAGCGCCAGTCTTGCTGTGCCAATCTGCAGAACAATTTTGGATTAATCGCAGACTAGAAAGTGAGGGAAGTAGGCGAATTCTAAAAGTTTCGCAGAGGTACTTAGATTTCAAGTCCATGAAAGCAGCATAAGGGGCCAAACACAGAGGTCCTTGTGGAACAATAACAACCTCATCGCTATGGAGTAAGTCTCTTATAGGGTCCAAAACAACTTTGTAAAATGTTTGTAATGACTTTGTCTCAAAAGATGAGGAATGAGACCTTGGCTTACTGGATCCTTTTTCTACTAACCTGTTATCGCTTGGGTTCCTTAATGAGCGATCTTCACAGTTAACATCAGCTCTCACACCTATTTCTTCATGTGCAGTCTCCAATAGAGACTGAAAAAAGGTTGTGCCGGAGATATCGATCTGAGTTCCTCTAGTTTTGATTTCGTTTCCTTTCTCGTTCACCCAGAGAACTATTCCTTCCTCGTTAATACCTATAAAAGCTGTATTTGATGGTAGGTAACTAAGAATGTCATGTGTTGTTGCAGAGAATGTTCCTATTTCTGGAGATAACCCATACTTGAACACCAAAAGATCATTTAAAGCTTTGGCACGTCCATGATCAGCAGTTAAAAGTGCCTCGACGACTTTACCTTGCTTAAACTGCAGTCCCCATAGCCTCAAAATAACGAACTCAAACGTACTCCCAAGACTAATCTTCCATTCGTCATTAGATATCAGATTTCCCCTGATATGGTCGAAGGTAATGACACTGATTTTATAAAAGTCAACGGCTGTCTGGAAATCTTCAAGACCGTCATAGGCGCTGCCAAGATTACCGTACGCTTTTCCTTCTCCTGCCCTGTCTCCCACTTCTTTGGAAATTTTGAGGTGTCGTTCATGGTACTCTATGGCTTTCTGGAAATCTCCAAGACTGTCGTAGGCGTTGCCAAGATTACCGTACGCTTTTCCTTCTCCTGCCCTGTCTCCCACTTCTTTGGAAATGTTGAGGTGTCGTTCATGGTAATCTATGGCTTGTTGGAAATCTCCAAGATTTCTAAAAGCGTTTCCAAGATTACCGTACGCTTTTCCTTCTCCTGCCCTGTCTCCCACTTCTTTGGAAATTTTGAGGTCTCGTTCATGGTACTCTATGGCTTTCTGGAAATCTCCGAGACCGTAATAGGCGCAGCCAAGATTACAGTACGCTGTTCCTTCTCCTGCCCTGTCTTCCACTTCTTTGGAAATTTTGAGGTGTCGTTCATGGTACTCTATGGCTTTCTGGAAATCTCCAAGACTGTCGTAGCCGTTGCCAAGATTACAGTACGCTTTTCCTTCTCCTACCCTGTCTCCCACTTCTTTGGAAATTTTGAGGTGTCGTTCATGGTACTCTATGGCTTTCTGGAAATCTCCGAGACCGTTATAGGCGCAGCCAAGATTACAGTACGCTGTTCCTTCTCCTGCCCTGTCTTCCACTTCTTTGGAAATTTTGAGGTGTCGTTCATGGTACTCTATGGCTTTCTGGAAATCTCCGAGACCGTAATAGGCGCAGCCAAGATTACAGTACGCTGTTCCTTCTCCTGCCCTGTCTTCCACTTCTTTGGAAATTTTGAGGTGTCGTTCATGGTACTCTATGGCTTTCTGGAAATCTCCAAGACTGTCGTAGCCGTTGCCAAGATTACAGTACGCTTTTCCTTCTCCTGCCCTGTCTCCCACTTCTTTGGAAATTTTGAGGTCTCGTTCATGGTACTCTATGGCTTTCTGGAAATCTCCAAGACTGTGATAGGCGTTGCCAAGATTACAGTACGTTTTTCCTTCTCCTGCCCTGTCTCCCACTTCTTTGGAAATTTTGCGGTGTCGTTCATGGTACTCTATGGCTTTCTGGAAATCTCCAAGACTGTGATAGGCGTTGCCAAGATTACCGTACGCTTTTCCTTCCCCTGCCCTGTCTCCCACTTCTTTGGAAATTTTGAGGTCTCGTTCATGGTACTCTGTGGCTTTCTGGAAATCTCCAAGACTGTGATAGGCGTTGCCAAGATTACAGTACGCTCTTCCTTCTCCTGCCCTGTCTCCCACTTCTTTGGAAATTTTGAGGTGTCGTTCATGGTACGCTATGGCTCTTTGGAAATCTCCAAGATTTGTAAAAGCGTTTCCAAGATTACCGTACGCTCTTCCTTCCCCTGCCCTGTCTTCCACTTCTTTGGAAATTTTGAGGTGTCGTTCATGGTACTCTATGGCTTTCTGGAAACCTCCAAGACTGTCATAGTCGTTGCCAAGATTACAGTAGGCATTTCCTTCTCCTGCCCTGTCTCCCATTTCTTTGGAAATTTTGAGGTGTCGTTCATGGTACTCTATGGCTTTCTGGAAATCTCCAAGACTGTGATAGGCGTTGCCAAGATTACAGTACGCTCTTCCTTCTCCTGCCCTGTCTCCCACTTCTTTGGAAATTTTGAGGTCTTGTTCATGGTACTCTCTGGCTTTCTGGAAATCTCCACGATTGTAATAGGCGTTGCCAAGATTACAGTACGCTTTTCCTTCTTCCTCCTTGTCGCCCACTAGTCTTGAAAATTTGAGGTATATTTCAAGGTAGTTTATGGAGTTCTGGAAATCTTTAAAGTTAACATAGGCGTCGCCAATAGTACTATTCCCTTTTTCTTCGTCTGTCTTTTCCCCAAGATTACAGGTGGCCTCTGTTTGTCCTTTCGCAGCCATTCCACTAACAAATTGCAGATAAAATCTACGTACTGCTTTTCCCAAAGATAGTTTTAATTGTCAGATTTTTTGCTTGCTTTGCTATTTCAGCTCTTCTGAAAAAAAAGTGTAGATATCTTTTGTTTTGTTTTTTCCGTTGATACCATTTCTCTTTATTTAAGATAACGAACGATAACGAAAATAAAAAGTAAAATTAAAACATTGAGTAAAAGCTGATTCATTAGCTCTTTTATTATTCGTTTTTGTCTATCACAGACGCATTTGGTTTGTCACAAATATAGTGATTGTTCTACTTGTTTTTTATCGTTGTGTCATGTGACTTGATAAACTGGGGTCTTCTCTTAAAAAAGGAAAAAAACATTCTTTTTGGTGACCAGTGATCGAAATGAGAAAGAAAACAGATTTACCATTGTTTAAACATGTTGTATGTTATCTATCTAGTCGTTGTACATTCATCTACCCTCCATTGAAAATACTAAAGATTTTGGCAACAAACTACAAATCGTGCCAGTAGGAATATTCAGAAAGTCAAATTTCGGAAAGTGAACTTATTTCTAAGGTTTAAAGTCTCTTGATAGCGGAATACAAATGTACAGCAAATGAAAAGAATATATATTTCTATACCACCAGTTATTTTAAGCTTGTCGAATATAATTTCAGAAAATTATAATTATGGTTCATATAAAATAGGAAAGGCCCCCTTGACTCCTTGCCCTGCTCGGTTTCAGCTTAAGAGCGATGGTCAGGAAAAATCCGAGAACAATCTTAATTTCGTGGCAGGAGTTAAAAAAATGAATTTATCCATAGATAGCTTTTAGGTAGATAAGAAACCTAATGTAGATTGTTCCCGCCAGAAGCCTTTTATTTGTGGTTTTCGATGTCGAAGTCTCAGACTGCCCCTAATTTTTTCCCCGAAATTCGCTAACATCAACTTTCCTCGTGTGCGCAAAGGAAGGCGCATGGAGAACAACTCGGTACGTGTAAAAACCTGAGGGGTTTTTGTTTTTCGTACTTCCTATTTTCCTTAGCTAGTATAGCTCTGTTACGTTGACGTCTTTTAATTTCTTTGTGTCATGTCACTTAGGAAGATTGCAAGTTCTTTTCAAATACACCCGTCCGAGGATGAGCCGGTTTAGAAAGATTTCTGTATACAGCTTGCCCTTATAATTTAACACAAATGAGAAATATGACTCTTCTGCACAACCTTTTTTTTATGTCGTCACGCAACGCAGACAGTATAAAAACGGCTGTCTAGCAGACTACTATGACTTGAGTAAGGACATGTATGCATAACTCAGTGATAACTAGTAATAGTTGACACTGCAGCTGCCCCCGCTCTGTATATAGTATGCTTGCTCTTTGTTTAGCTCTTTGAAATACCTATCCGCGGGTAATTACGGTATACCGATTCATAATGAAGATGTTCACACATATTCCATACAATAGGTGAGATAAATACAGGACTCCAACGCAAGGTTCCATTCACAGTTTCGGTTCGATTTACACAACTTTGATCAAAACATAATCATTCTCAGTTTCAAGAATAGTTTATTCTAAACCATAAGAAAAGATTTAATTAGAAGTTTAATTTTCCGCTATTTCTATTTCACTTTTTACATTTAGTTCATTTCATTTGCCGGAAGGTAAGCCTTAGAAATTAAATGGACGTTTGATCAATTTACGCTCGCACATTCTAGTCTTATTTTAAAACTTATAGCGGAAGGGCATCTGCCTTGTGAGCAGGGAATAAGTCAGCACAGAATTTGATGGTCGGCGAATTTCTGTCATCGTCTACCGTTTTGCTAGTAATAAGCTAGCCGTTGAATCATTCGCTCGTCTTGCTTGTTTTGGGCCGAGTCTTATTCCGGTCAAAGAGAGAGAAAGAGTGTCTGGCAAGGTTCAGCTGAAGGTTTCCAATCAAAGATTTGTGAACTCGTGTCTGGCAAACTCACTTAGTGTTAAAATATACACTGTTCTACGCACCTTATAACTTCATCTGCGCTTAACGAGGGTCTTTTGGTAACAACTGCTCCACAGAATGTCAATGATAACACGTAACGCAAAAGAGTATCGAAGTGTCAGAGCACAATTAATGTCACAAAATCTACCTATTGTAAGCTGTTCCTTCGGGATTTTTTGTATTGTACGTCATCCTAACCATTTCGTACTTGCGGGCGCAAACAATAGAAACGTCATCATTACCTACCTATTCCTCGCGGCCCCTTTTCAAGCAAATCGAGATTTTTTCTGTATTGACTGTATGACTGTATATTTCAACTGTAAGTACTTTCCTTAAATATGCGCGCGAGTCAATAGGGTGCCTCCTCGGGATTTCGCCTTCTGGGCGAAATCCCTGCGAGAGCAATAAATCAGTGAAAGGGCTGAGATGAAATCCTACAGTCCCCTGGGAACTGAAAGATCATAGACAACACGGCTTATTAAAAACAGACATGCTTTGACAAAAGTTTCCGCGAGATAAATGACCAAATGCCGTTCTAAGGTAAAGGAACCGTGTAGTTCGAGTATAACTTCAGCTAATACAATGCCTACCTCAGTTATAAATTCCCGAGTAGTCTTGATGGTTCGCTTGATTTGTCACGAAGAAAAAGTCTACGAAGAAGTCATAATTTGCAAAGCAAGTCAGTATAAAAGTCAATTGCGTTTTCCTTCACATAATAACCGGACTTGCACAAAACTTACCTTAAGCGACAATCAACCCTTCTACCAAGAAGAAATTAAACCTATGTGATTTTTCCCTTTCTTTAGCTTTCACTTTCATTTTGATCAAATTACGTCAACAAAAGTGACGTAAGTGCTTCCAGAAATAGCTCTCGAAATTCAGCCAGCCAATAAAAAATTTGAAAATAATAAAGCATATGAGGGATTAGCCTGAGGGAGTAAAAACGACTGGAAGCAATCGTCTGTAATTCTGGATAATGAGGGGTCAAATTAAATCTAATATACAGTTATGTCTTTTGGTGATAAGCTTTCCTTGCCAGCCAGATGTTTCTCTCACTGTTTCGGATCCCACGACAGAACTCTCGCCTGCTACTATTTTTGCAACCGTTTACGTGCTGCGAAGCCATACGTCACGTGGTTAGTGTCGAATCATGTCGGAAAATCCAAGTAGCAATGAAAACAGCAGTAATAAAGGTAGTCGCTCAATAGAGGTTTACTTTCCCATTCTTTTCTACAAGTATTTCGGAACTTTGATTACTGGCCGCTTAATGGACGATGGCCGCTTAATAGGAGGCCACTTAATGGAGTTTCAACTGTATACAGAGTGGGATGATAACCATGTATGCATAATAAATCAGTGAAAGGGCTGAGAGGAATCGTACATGATGGGTACTATCGCTGAAAAAGTCCCCTGCGAACTGAAACATAATACTGTGAAAGGTTTGAACCCAGGAGTCATTTCAAAAGTAGGTTGAGTTTGATCGTCCGGGTGAACGTAGTGCTGAATAGGACTGTTGTTGTTGACAGTGACTGACGTTTCGACAACCTGTGCGGTAGTCATCTTCCGAGTCAAAGTGAGTTGTATCACGTCAGTTGATGGTATTATACTTTGGATATTGATCTGATTGGTCAAATACGTCACGATGTTATTGGTCGTCTGTCAGTTAAGCCGTGATGTTATTGGCTATGAAGACTCGTAATCAGTAATTGGTGCGTTTCGATCCGTCTATTGTCACAGTTAAACAGTCGTCTATTGTTAGTCAAATTGTCAGTTCTCCAGTCGCTCTCTCGTAGTTAGTTTTGCTTGATCTCGTCCATAAGTCGTTTGTACGGCGCTGGCAACTGTTGGCTACGACGGATCGAAACGCACCAATTACTGATTACGAGTCTTTATAGCCAATAACATCACGGCTTAACTGACACACGACCAATAACATCGCGATATAAATTCCCGAGCAGTCTCGATAGTTCGCTTGATTTGTCACGACGAAAAAGTCTACGAGGAATGCAAATTATCTCCGGTACGGAGTATAGGAGATAATGACTTTCTACGTATTATTTCTTGGGCATGTTGGTATTATCACCCCTTATTGGTGTTAGTTAATTATCTATTGTGCTATGTAGCTATATATATTTGTTAATGTATGCTGTTTGTCACTCTCGCTCCAGTACGCTGTACCAGGCAGATAATTTTTGGTTAGGCACAAGAAGACGCAAGATGCCCCTTCCGGGACAAGATGCTCCCGATTTGCGAGAAGAAGGTTCTTCTAACGCT